TAAAACTAATCAATAGATTAAATGAAACTTTAATTAATCTAAAAACTTTTTGAATTAAAGTTAACGGAATTTACAAGAACGCAAAATCAACCTCGAACCAGTCGATAAACCTGTTTTAGTAGGAAAGTAAAACAAATGAATGAAAAAAATTACAGAAGACTAATTTTTTTATTTTCAAATTATACCTAAAATATATATTTGGTGTATATTTGGTGGCCTGCTGACAACGACTGATAAAAGTCTGAAATTTCACTTCACTGGCACCAGCCTTTATGGCTTTACGGACACCTATAAGGGGATAAGGACATCACATGAAGCGGATCTAATTCTCTTGTCCGTCTATTCCCAGTAGATTCATGTACGCAGTTCCACGTGGAACAATTGTAACCTTAATATATCAAATTAATTCCCATTAGTTCCATGTAATTTTTACCGTCTTCAAAAGGAGGAGGTTCTCAATTCGACTGTATGATTTTTTTGTACTTTTTTGTTGGTAAGGGGGTACTTCCATAGTGGTCTCATTTCATTTTGAAAAAAATCATCCACCTCTAAGGGTGGCTGTTCACGCATGAAGATTCATTTTTACAAATAGCGCCTAAATTTTACTTAAGGAGCAAATATTTTAATGGTTGATTTTGCTATATCTCCAATTCAAGGCGTTTTTCTCTCAATATACTTTGAGTAGTGAGAACCGATTTTTATTATCTCCAGTGTCAAGTCCTGTATAGTGGCGAATTAGGGGATATTCCAATAAAACTTAGCAAATAGACGTAATTCCACGTACTTTTGAGGTCGGTTTTTTTAGTACTCTGTACTGAGATTTACACGTGACTTTTCTTCCTCATTAGATCTTTATAAGTTCATTAACTCCATTTCCAAAATAGACAAACATTTAAAGGGTCTATAAATGCAGAATATGCGATGACAAACCAATGTTTTATTTTTATTCATATAAAAATATTATCAAATCCCGTGCAGAAATTGAAACCTAGAATTGTCCGTGCTTTTGAAACTAACAAGAAATTTGATAGTTTATTAACAAAAAAAAATGCAATAATGAAGGCAGTTTTTAACAAGATAAATTTAATTCTAGATGGACGGTAGACCTGGTAGGGGCGGCGGGTAACCGATGGATGCACGTCGCGTCCGATCGGCTGGTCTGGAAATCTTTGGGGGAGGCCTATGTTCAGCAGTGGACGTCTTCCGGCTGATATGATGATGATGAAGTATAATTCTCGGCTCTTGCCCACAAAGGTCATAGTAGGTCGTCATAGTAGTTCTATTTTATTTAAGGTTACAGTTTTATTATGCCTAAGTACGTTTTATTAATATATGTAACAAAATTGTTTACTCATGATTGGTAATGCTGTATGTACATGTTTAGGTTTACATTCTCGACTAGAACTAGCAATAATGTTTAAGCTTTTGTTAAGGAGTGAATGTAAAATGTTTTGTACATCTAATAAATAAATAAACAATGAGTTCTTAGGCTTTCGCGATTGTTGCACATAGGAAATGAAAGTATTTTTCTGGATTTAAATCGCGTCCCTTTACAGGTCGTATGGTCACGATTGACTATGACTGTGGGACCTGTAAACGGCCAGAAACGTTGGTTTGTTTGAAAAAACAAATATACGCGATTAAAATGCGGAAAAATAGTTTCATTTCCTAAATAAATAAATAAGTTAGAATGTAAAAAAAAGTGCTTTTATGATACCAAGTCGCAGATTAACAAATCATGCGCCTGGTGATAGGTAAGCGATACGCCTGTCCACAGTAGTTACAGTTCCACTTAGAACTTTAAATCGTAAACATCTGAGAGGCACTGCGACATAAGTGGACAAGTCACGTGTGCCTATAATTTCACTAGCACTCTTTATTTCATTAACACTACTTTTAAAACTGCAACGCAGTAGTACTCACACTACCGCTTGGTAGCAGAAATTGGTAAGCTGGCAGTACTTTCTTGGACGAACTTTTTCACAAGGAACTCTACTGCTACTTAATGCTACAAATGAGCAACACTTTACTACCACGCCTCGTTAACAAAAAAAATGAGCCGGAGAAAGGAGCGATATACTTTTATAATAGAGAGAATAATGTGATTAGGTATATTTCAAGTAATGGGACGAAAATGTCGTAAGCCTATTCATTCTTGCCTATCACAATTTCAGTGCCACTTAAAGTTTTCAATCGCAAAGATCTAAGCATCACTTAATACTTAATTAATTTTTGTACAATTAAGGAATTTTATATGGAACTGGAATTAACTATTTTGTCTTTATCTCAAAACAGACTTAGCCTGTTCACGAAAGAATACACAATGTTAGAATGAAAGGAATTCACATGATAATACCGTCAATAATGATGTAGTAGTAAAAAAAAAATTTTAACAAAAGAAAAGACGTCCTCAAAAGTTTGCTTCTCAGTTTTCGCTGAGTTTTATTTCCATTTGATTGCATCTATCTAAATTGGTTAACGGAAAGCGTGTAAGATTTAATAAACCGGATTCATCCCTTAATTTGCCACCCTTAGAGGTGGAATATTTTTTTCAAATTTGAATGAGACTACTACCAAGGTACCCCTATCTAACAGAAAAAGAATCATCGAAATCAGTTCACCAAAGTCGGAGTAATCGTGTAAGGCGCGACTCACACTGGCGCAGAGTCGAAGCATTGCGTCGGGTCCTGTTTGTCAACGACAATGCCTGGCGACGCGTGTCGACGCATTAGTGCGTCCAGATCACAGTGTGGTCGCCGTCTGACGCCTCACTGCGCTCAACAAACTATATATTTGAATAACACAAATTTATACTTTATTGATGGGGAAAATAGTGATGATTATGTTATAGGCGAAAAACATGACGCGTCGTGACACTTCGACTCTGCGCCAGTGTGAGTTGAGCCCTACATACACACACAGAAAACAGACGAATTGAGAACCTCCTCCGTTTTGAAGTCAGTTAAAAAATTAAAAACACCGATAGCTGGCAAATGGAAGCCGAGTGTAAATAATTAAGATGAGTCATTGTATAATGCATCTGTAGGACTAGCATGACACGACTTGCGCGAGAGCGACGTAAAGCGAAATCTCTATGCCAGAATAGCAGTATCTCGCGCTTTATGTCGCTCTCGCGCTAGCCGCGCACTGTCATGCTAACCCTAACGAAAATTTGTGCATGTTGAATTTTATGGCCACAATGTTTTTAGATGTTTTTCATCTTATGAAAAACACAAATTATTTTTAAATCGCTGACAGAAGACCAAAACAATATCGTTTTAAAATTAAAGAATAGAGGTAAAACAGCAAAATGAGAGAAAAATTTGCGTGAGTATTAAAATTAAAGAGTCAATTATGAATCGAATTACAGTAATTACCAGAGACTCCAATTCTATTATTATTTTAATAGTGATAAATCTATGATATTCATTTATTAGTCTATTGTTCATTCTCATTGTTTTCTGGTTGACGTTGATTTCCCACGTATGTTTATATAAGGCAAAATCACGTACTTATAATTGTTTACTTTGTTTATTAAACGTTTTTCTTCTGGTTTTGTCTAGTTTTCCTTGCTTACTAGCAATCGATCTACTTTCCGATCCCTTTTAAGTAGGTAGTAATCGTAAGCTCAGATTTAAAAAAATCCAGAAGGACGTCTTAATGCAATGAAGGAACTACAATTAGCATAGTATCTGAGATTCTTGAGGTAAATTAACCAGTAAAGCATATAAAAATATCATTACTTTTCTTTGTGCTGTAGTGCTTATATTGATAGATAGATAAAACGTTTATTTGGATCTACGGACACACATACATACCAGAAAAATATATATTATAATAAAAAGCAAACAGAAACCAGCAGAGTCGTAGCTCTGACGAACACCCAGTTATGTGTGTGTGCTGTAGCAGTGCAAAAAGGCTATAAGCTCAGCGTCGGTGTTCACTCAGGAGCAAACCGCTAATTTTCAGCTATAACCTAGAGGATGCCGCGGATACGGTAACCAGCCAGCTGACGCCATTATCATGTTGTATAAATTAAACAAATAATAATTTCGAAACTAAATAAATACGGAAGATAATTATAAATACAACAAATGATATTTTTTTAGATTTGATTTAACAATGTTAATAATATAACTAAATTATAAATTGAAATTTTAAGTGGTTATTATCTAAAAGTCAATTTAATTATATATAGGTAAATCCTGTTGTTCCTTCGATTCCTGTTGATGATTCGATACAAAATATTAAAAGTAGTCGTCATGCTGAATTGCATGGGGATATGTATATAAGTTACTCCGTAAGTAAGTAAGTAAGTTAAGTCGCCCCGGGTGCACCAAACTTACTGGGAATACGATTCGTACATCATTTCGGGGAGGTTCCTCACGTGCACCCCATATAATAATATGATAGTTACAGATTAGTAGCTGTAGAGCTCCTTGTGAAAGAGTTCCTTACTACCACCTTACCTATTTCTGCCGCCAAGCGGAAACGTGAGCATTGCTGCGTTGCAGTGATGGTGAAATTACAGGCACATGGGACTTGTCAACTTATGTCAATGGGTGACGGGCGCAATGGCGGTGCCCCTCAGATCTTTGTGATACTGAGTGACACTGCAACTGTTCTGGATAGGCGTGTAGCTTAACAATAGGCACACAACTTGTTACATGATGTTAAGCAAAAAACCTCGCGTTGAGTATATGATTAAAAAACCATACCTGTCAGCGACAAACCATTTCCACCAGTGACATGCGAAGTAGCTAGGCGGTGTGCAAGGAAACTATCCACCAATAAATTTACTTCATTTTCCTGATATTTAGATATCAGGAAAATGAAAAAATGAGATATGAATACCAAAGTTACTGGAAATTCTACTTTTTCAATTATTTTCAATTTTTTTTTAAATATAACGCACACACACTCAACGTAGCCCTGCACTAGGGAAACCCTGTGTCGCGGGTGCCATGGACACACACATAGACAA